CAGAGGCATTCAACCTAGTACGCTGTTCAGTCTCACATAATGAACTTGACTGGAAGCACTGCTGTTCAGGCTCACTCTGTGCTGTCCTCCCTCACATATAGAGCCCTGTATGTACTCCCATTGACAGTGGGGATGTGTCATTTAATTGGATGCAGAGTGCACCTACTGCTCTGTTCAAGGCTGCGATGTTCAGTGTTTAAGATTGTCCTTCATGGACTGATGTTTTCCATCTTCGAAAGATTATTTCGAACAGTGCAGCTTGGTTTGGTCTTGGTAAATTCACCCAAACAGGTTGTGTACGTATTTGTGTGCATGTTTGTACATACATGTAAGCCTGCATTATCAGTGGAATCGGTAAAAATCTTTGATCACTGTTTTATTAGACCTGTGTAAAACAGTGGGGCCAGATGCTTTTAAATATTTTTAGACTTTGTAGGTGTTGAAAAATGCCTTCAGGTTAGTGTTGGAGTATTTGAATTCTAGAGTGAGCTTTTTTTTTTTTTATTACTTTTTTTATTATTATTTTTATTTGTCACAAATTCAAACAGCAGTGTAAAACAGTAGTAGTAAAGTTCTTACTAGTAGAACTGGTCTAGAGTATGATCTATATTTCTGTTATGATTTGGCGCTATACATATACAATTGAATTGAAAATTGAATTGAATTGAGTGAGGTTTGAGTTTAGAATATTTTACAGCAAAGTAAAATAATACATACATGGCAAAACATAAAAATATGTATGTCCATCCCACCTATCCTGATCATTTAACTAAGAGATGGTGTGTAATTACTCACACTTGGCCTTTTATGCATTAAGTATATGTTGTACCTTCACTAAAGCTTCATTTAAATAAATAGATTATTAACAACAAAATCCAGCCAATTAAGGCTTGTGAGTTCTAGCATATTTCTTGCTTTCATATTTCGTAGTCCTCACTGACACACACTGTGTGCTCTGCAGTGTTCCAGTACCTGTGCAGGAGGGTTCCAGAGGCGAGTGGTGGTCTGTCAGGATGCTGATGGACGCAGCAACAGCTACTGTGACGAGAGGGTCAAACCTGCCGAGTCTAAGAGCTGTAACTCTGGGCCCTGCCCTCTGTGGAACTATGGTGTCTGGGGAGAGGTGAGGTTAATTGAGTTTGAAACACGGCTTTTGTCATTCTCTACCAGTTACTTGTTGTGAACCATATTACATTTCCCACACAGCTTCTGTTTTTCATCCCTGTCATCTGTTATGTCTGCTGTCTGTATGTCTCTCTCTCTTATCACTTAAACAAAAAAACAAGCATTTGTCGCATCTCTGAAAGAACAGATAGTTTGATTAGTAAGGTCAAAAGACACTTAAACACACATATACCTAGGTCCTAGGTTTCTGCCTTTTAACAGGCAGTTTTTCCTTGCCCTTGTCGCCAAGTGCTTGCTCGTGGTGGTACTGTAAATAATGTTATAAAGAGTTCGGTCTAGACCTGCTCTATTTGAAAAGTGTCCTGAGATAACTTCTGTTATGAATTGGAGCTATACAAATAAAATTGAATTGAATTGAATTGAATTGAATTGAATTGAATTGAATTGAATATACACATTATGAGACACACTTATTAACACACACATTATGAACAGTTTGATTATATAACGTTATTAAACATAATTTTTTGCTCGCTAACTGCAGTGCACCCAGACCTGCGGTGGAGGACGGAGGACTCGCCTGGTGGTTTGTCAAAGGCCCAGTGGCCAGAGACTCAACGACTACAACTGCGACGTCCTGGACAAGCCGCCCGACATGGAGCAATGCAACCTGCAGTCCTGCCCAGGCTCTGCCTCCTGGCACCGTCGACCATGGAAGCCGGTACGATAGTACTAACTCGTTTTCCTCCAACACATATCTTCCTAACTGAGGGCGCGTCACTGTGAGTAGAGTGTGTGCTAAAATGACTTCAGACCTCCTGTGTACTGAGTGTCTTTTAGCCTAAAACTAGGAGATTCTGAAGTGAACACTGGGTATCTCGCGCCACTGTTGGCTAGCCAACTACAGCCCACCCAGATGGGCCCTGCAGTGGCATGGTGCTGATTAGGATAAAAAAAAAAGAAAAAATACACAAAAAACACAACGCTGCTCCACTTAAGGGATCATTAAAAACACATGGATCCCATTTTGAGCCAAGGCTTCAAATTAAAACCTATAAATCAGGACAGTGTTGTCCAACAATGCCATATATTTGTAGAGGCATAACTCTAGAAAATATTTATTTCATATATGAGGCGTGAAGTAAATGTTCTTTGTTGTTATTGCTGTCTTCACCCTGTATCCGAAATACACAAGTGTATATTTGTGTATAAGAGGTAATATTATGACCTTTATTGAACAGCAACAAATGACTGTCAGTGTATTTTGTATATGTATCTTTGTACAGTATGATTTTGTTTTTCAAGTAGTTAGTTTTCGTTACTGAATATTATATTTAATATTTTTGCTGGTGCTCTTGGTCAGACTCTCGTATCTCTCTATGAGTAAATACAGTTTGTACAGAGGAAAATATTTTCAAAACATGTTTCATTCGTATTTTTGATTGTGTGTTTTACTTTAGTTGAAATACAATTTAGTGAGGCTTCATCTCTGTTAGAATGAAATATTTTGAATCATCTACATCGTCACCGTAGCAAGAAAACTATTGAACAAAAAATTCATCTTAAAAACAATATCCAAAAACTAAATTAAAAGTAAGTGCCTTAAAATGCAGAGTGATTGGAAAATAAGCATAATAGGAAAGAGTTTTAAAATATATATATAAACAGTTATTTTATGTTTTAATAAAAAGTATATTGCCCAATATATGATGTAATCTATTTCACATAGGAAAACAGGCATAAATGCTGATAAACTACAATGTAATTACACATTCGTACATCTTTCTTCACCCAGTTCTTACTTTATATACAATCAAGCCATTGAGTACAGGCATATCACAAAAACAATGGTATGTCAATATGAATCATCTTATGTGTAGATGGAAATGTTGAGCACTTTGGATTTAATCCTAACGTCATATCAGGTGAAAGGAAGTCAGTCTGAGGTTTAATCCAGTTTCTCTGCAGCCACATGAACAAAAACGGCAACTTTAAAATGCAATTTATCGTGCTATTGTGATATTTTGGGTTATTTGTCATTATGATATGGTGCTATTAAATTTTACAATATATAATGGATCATTGTCGGTATCATGAAGACAAAGTTTTATCATATCTCCAGGCTTAGTATGAATTTATTTATTCTGTTAATGGTAGGCAGCATTAGTGCAGCTTACCGAACATAAAACTGTCACTGCAGTGAATTTGAGGTTATCATTGAGTCGTTCCTTTTCTGCTTTCTACATTGTCCATAAAGCAAACTAAAGCACACAAATACCTCCTCCTTATAAAGTTATAGTCATTTGTTGCTGTGTCTTTTTATTCCTTTGGCCAGTTTTTGTATTTCTGAAGGATTATTTCTTTTTTTTCAAATTAAACTTATTTATTTGTTTACAATAGATTATTAATTGTTGCAGCTTTAATGTTTTGTTACAGTTTAGATTGATGTAACACTTTACTTGAATTATTTGTCATTATACACACATGTCACTTGAACACTACTAGTTGGGCCCTTGTACAGTATAAAACTTAATACTGACTTGCCACTTAAGTCATTGTCTGAGGTCACGTAACCTGATCAGCAATAAAACATGCTACTCCAAGGGCAACTATATAGGCAACACTGAATGGCTTTGGCACTGTTGTATTACGCTACTGGGACAGAATAGCTAGAAACTATTCATTCTTGATAGGTTACAGCATCACAGCATCATATACATCTGAATCTTTCTGGCTAGTCAACCAGTGTAAAGCCTATAGATCAGATTTCAGCTTAACCATATGGTCAAAAGAAGCCGCTCTTATGGCTTTGCTTGTTGTAGCCTTAAAGAGCAACAAAACACCAGCTGAAAATCTTGCTGAACTTCAGTAGTTTAACCCTTCACCTTGCTGTAGTAATGTAGAGGTGTACACCAGGGTGTGTCAATAAACCATGACGTCCCTGAGTGGTGTGGTTACAGGTGCACACGTCTGACCACACCCAACATGGAGATGTGAAACACACTTGAAACTTTTAACTAGAGGGGGCAATGGAATAGTGCTATTCAGCCTGGTATAAGGTTACTCTTTAAGGCCAGTTCAGAGTTTAAGAGCTTAGTAACGTATCCTGGGAAACTTACAGCTCTCGTTTAATGCAGGATCCAGTATACACAGTCTGATTATGTGTTGAACTCTGAGTCTTAAGGCTCCTTTGAATTTGTGACCAGTGTTAAAATGTGACATGTTAGTACCCTGAATTATATTCTGATTAAGGCAACATAAAAGAATCATGACACATATTTCAGGTGAAGTGTTGCAGTTGGGTCTGTATTTATGTTGTTGTCCTCTCAGTGAGGATGTCTGCAGTCTCCTTCTTTGTTTCTTTGCTGTGTGCGTGTGCGTGTGTGTGTGTGCAGGTGTGTGTGTGTGTGTGTGTGTGTGTGTGTGTGTGTGTGTCATTGTCAACCAAGGCTTCCACTACAACCAAGACTCCTCAGCAATGGCAGTTTCACTCCCACTCCTTCATTTCTTTTTTAACCCTGTGGTGCAAAGTTGTCAAACTCAAGGGAGCAACTCTACTTTATTTTGCATATTTTGGTTCGTTGTTGTTCTTTTTGCTATTTATTTCAGTCACGTGCAAAAATACATAAACATGTTGAATTAGCTTTTGCCCATTGTAAAGATTATTAAAGAAACATAACTGTGAAATTTGTGTTGTTTCTCAATGCAATATTTTACTGACAAAGAAAGTACAGGACTGTACCTTTAACAACTTCAGTAGTTACTTTTTACACTAAAGGAAGAGCACAATTTATGTTATGTATAAATCCTACAGACATCACGCTAGGCAACAGCAAAAATACAAAGATAAAAACAAAATAAGACACTGCAAAGAATAAAACTTGGCATACATAGTTTATTGGTTAAACAGGGGAACAACTTTTGTTTAGACACAGCAGTTATTCTTTCATATACAGAAGCTTCATACTACACTAACATGCATTACATGTACAATATGTTTATGCAGTATATAGTGTGTAGGTGAATTTCTTACGTTCTTAGAAAAGACTTAACTTGTAGGTCATTATGTGGTATTTTGGTAATTGACCCTCAATTGACTTCAGTCTGTTTAGCAGCCTTTTGCAGTAATCTTTAATATAATTAAGTCTTTAGAAGCATAGCTAAAATATGTTTCCATAGTATCTGTACTATTTTACATACCTCTGCATAATGTAGCGCAAAAACACTGCAGGCCTTTTCCATTTATGCGATTTAACGTTTTATTTTTATTCTCCCTGGAGAACACATACACAGTCCAAATCAAACTTTGGCGCTGGGTGGCACATCTGTTTACCATTGCATTAATGGAGCTCTCTGTAATGCATTTGGCAGGAGTCCGCCGAGGTATTACTTTTACTACAACAATAATTGGTATTAATTCATGCTGGCAAAGGTTGTTTAGTTGAGGAGATCCAAAAGCAAGCCCTGTAAAGCCAGTATTTACAGAAAACTGCTGCTTGAATTATGTATTTGATATTTTCCTGCTTTCTTTAGGAGAGGTCCTTTGAAGGAAATATGTTAAAATAGCTTTGTAAAACACCTAGTAGTGTAAGAAGTAATATCAGGCAGTATTTCTAAATAATCTAGTAATTCAAGTAAATGCCTTACCATCGGCTTTAACTCAAAATAGACCACATTACTGGATTCTACATAAACCTAGTACCTAAACTTACCTAATTAACCAACTCCAGTGAAGAATTCATTTAATATAGCTCTATATAAATCAGCAGTGTAGCCTGCAAGCAGTAAGTGTTGACCAAAATGATTAAACATAAATTAAAGATGAACATTAGTTATCAAATTACCTTCACACATGACTTGCATCATATATCCCAGGAAGCCTTCTTTTTTTTATCATTTCATGCATCCAAATATTAAATACTGTCCCAGTGAAATGGCAAATGTTTAGGGCTGATGCTCTTTTAAATGGCTAGCTACAGGGGGGATAAAATGGTCTGGGGGTTCTTGTATTACATAAAAATGTCAAAATATTTCTTATGGCTTCAGAGGGTATCATATAGTACCAAAATATTTTCCTATGCAAATTAAAGACATTTGTCACCAACAATATGAATCGCATCGTTTGCAGCAGTAGCTCTTTTTTTTATTATTTATTTTTGATTTATTTATCAAATATATTCTTATGAAATTATATCGAACACATTCTCCCAAAATATCACATATTATTATTTACTGTTAAAACCTTTCTTGGGAATGTAGTTAATACATTTATTATCCCACAGATTTGAAAGCCATTTTAGTTAAGCCATTTCTTCAATATTTCATCACAGACTTGTTACCAGAGAAATGACTTTATTAATGATGGTATACCATCTTGACAATATTCACAAGTGTGGATCTTGGTATACATTCGATCATGAAGAGTCATCTTTTATGTTGACATTCAATTACAGGACAATAATGTCCAAAAACAATTTACTTTATTTTTTTTTTAACCCTGAACCATTTCTAATCCTGCTGTAATCACTTTAGGAACCACTTCAAACAAATAAATAATTGTCTAACCTATATTCATTTTCCAAATACAGGTAATCAAAAACACATTTGTCATATATAAAAAAGAAAAGACACAAAGAAATTATCAAATTTATTGCACAAATTCAGGATTGCAGTCACATAGTTCAACATAAACTGTCAGGAATGTAAATATCATTAACTAATGGTAATTACCTCAAAAGTAATGTCGATGTCAAATGTGTGCAAACAGCAACAATATGTCTGTGTGTGATAAATTGGCGACCAAGGCACCATTTTAGTAATTTATGCCTGTTTGTTGCTAACAAAAACATACCGTTTCCTGTCAAGAGTGGGTTTCCCATGGAGGGGGATTGCAGTTGGGCGTCTGTGAACTAATCATGCTGCTTCAAATGAAATCCACATGCACAACATTGACATACTTGACTTTGGCCTGGGGCAGTGGGCAAGAGCATTCTCCAAACCTGTCACCCTGGGGTCAGTTGGTCGTGACATCATTGGGCTTGTGTTTCCTGATCCTGCTCATTTGCCAGTCGAGTGTGAGCAATTGAAGCGGTGGCTGGAAGGTCTCCCCAGGTCCTCACGAGCATGGTTCTTGTCATTGCTTTAATTTGAATCTGAGTCAGGAGATAATGTTTCATTTCGGCCTTTGAGAGAAAGCAAAATAATTAAGTTGATGATTTGCTGGTTAAAAGTCAAGCACTATGGCCTACAGATTTTGGCAAACCATTAGGACTTTGAAGGCAGAGAACCAGATGCTGTGAGATGTTATCTGAAGATTCAAAATATTTGGATTAGAGCATGGCTTTGGCACTAGGAATGGAAATCTCTTGTAGGTCAACCAGTTGGATAACATGAAGTTTAACATATTGCACACTGTAATATAGATTTTCTTTGCCAGCACTGGCATAAATCTCCTCACAATTTATTGTGGCTTAGAGAGCAGTTAAATGACGATATTAATGCTGTCCCTGTAGGACTCAAGCCCCATCTGAAGGAATAAGAGTTGACTCAAAACCATAGTGAGTTTGTGCAGGACATTGGGTGAAATTAAGAGAGGAGCCCATCTAGTAAGTGTATTTTTATTTTGTGGGCGATCTGCGTTGGGAGCAGATGCAGTGAGATGAAATGAGAGGAGACAGGGTGTGAAAGTCTGGAAGCATTTAAGTTGGTCTACTCCAGGCTCATTGAAAGATAGGGAATGTGGCCTCACTTTGACACAGGTAGAGAGCGCCTGCTTTTCCTCAACTTGTCGGTCAAGTATTATAAATTGGTTTTAAGTCTCTAGGAGTTGCTTCTTAGACTCCACTTAAATGTATATTCCTCTCACATGAGGCTACCACGTCAGACTTGATGGGGCCTGGTGCTGTTGGAGCCTGTCGATGCTATCAAGTTGATGGAGTGAAATGGAGTTTGTGGGTCTTGACATATCTGTCAGAGAGCTTTTTACCCTCTTATGGGATAAACAATGATAGATTGGGAGTTGGAGCCCATTTTAAGTAATGGTGAGCTTATAGTGCTTCATTTCAACTCCGGCAAAAGGGTTAGAGATTTAGCTCTACTCCTATAATACTATTTGAGTATGTGGGCTTTACTTTCCACGCAAGTTAGTGACTTGTCAGGTCGGTTTCTCATGGTTCATCATTATAGGTTGGCAGGGCCACTGGTCCACAGATGTGAGGAAATTCCTGTATGTCAGTCAGTACCTGATGCACTATTCATCGAAGTTATATCTTCAACCCCTTCTCCACTGGCTACTAAAAGATACCAACATTCAAAAGAGAAATCCACCTTTGAGTATTTTGCATGTTTTACGGCTGTAATGATAATGAATGATCTTCCTGATTAATCAATTAATTGTTTTGTCTATAACAAACTGTAAAATAGTGACAATAGTTATACATTTACTATTATGAAAGACAAAGAAAAGCAGCAAATCATCACATTTGAAAAACTGAAACACTGCACTTGCACTTAAATACCACATATCAGCTCTATAATACTGCCATATCATTAATATATAAAATAAATAGGGACATTTCCATCCTCCATTTCCATTTTTTCCATTACAAAAACAATGTATAATTAACTATGCTATATCTCATTTTCTTGTAATGCTTGCTTGATATTTTTGTCTTTTTTAAATAAATGCAAGGTCAGGATCTTCCACTTCTTTGAGCTTTTCCATACTTCCCTGTATGCAAGCTGTGGCAGGCTGGTTGCTATGACAGATTTGAAAAGCAGATGTGTAACATTAAGCAGGAAGAGGGAGTTAGACTTGAATGTGTTGTGTCAAAGGTCACTACTTTATAACTTTACGGCTGGTCTGCTGTTTGTATTCTTCAAGTGAATCAAGAATAAGCTTTTTTTCCTATCTTTTCTATAGTTATTCCTCACTTTCTCTATCTGCAGAGGAATACTGCTTTGAGCTGGATGTTTCAGTGTAACATAGCAATGGAAAAAGCGCTCATTGGAATGTTTAGACAGACGGAAAAACTCATCTGTTTTGTCATTTCGTTTTGACTTATGGTTGCTTGGTGTATCTTTTCTGAGTAGTGTTGACTTAAAAAGGAAACCGTGTTGAAGAAACTGTATATGTCTACTCAACCGGTTGTTTATTTAACTCTTAAAAGATGGTAAAATAATACTTTTGGCATGGAGTGCAGAATATGCCATATAGTTTTAGCCAACCAGAAGTCTGTCAGGAATTGCACTGACAGAAATAGGAACAGGTAAAATTTCCACATCTTACAATCAGTCCCATCCTGGGATGAATAATATGGCAAAGTCAACATGTCAAATCCATACTGCACTGTGAGCAAAGACATCTATATTTTGCGTGTGATTATATTTGCATATACTTTGTTATTTGCATGATTTCTATGGTTCATGGATAAAGTTAGTAAAGATTAGCATTCGATAGGTTGGATATATAAATGTTAGGATTTCCCACTGCTCCTGTATGTGGTTTTAAAACAAGTCTGGGTGGCTATTTTGGCCTGATGGATAAAAGGTCTATGACTCTTGACATTCCTCTGCCCCATGACGCCGATCTTACCAGCTGTTCCCATGTTGACAGCATGTGTTGTTTTGACTTCTGTCTTTGAAAGCTCCCTGCAAAACAAGACCATGAACAGAGAAGCAGCCTGAATGTTCTGTGACCTTTCATCTTCCTCCCTCTTGTCTGCTTTCTCTGATTTGCAGAGAACATGGTGATACTGATAAGACTGCAACAAAAGACATGACACTACTTTAAAGTACATTCAGTTCCCAACTATTATTGCTCCTTGCCTGATTTGGTGTGCAGATAATTTAAAATTTTGCGTGAGCATGGTTGACTCAATAGAGCAGTTACCTTTGCTTGAGGGTTCTGTATCTCACAGCCTTGACAACATGTAGCCCAGGGTATAATTCTACACTCCCTTCACAGTCTACACTTGCAAGTTTGTTCTTGCTCCAGGTCAACACTGAACTCCTTTGAAGAGTCTAACTGTAACTACAGTTACCATATGCTTGGTATTACCATCTTCTTGCATTGCAAACGTGCTGCAATGTGATTGGAATTCAACCTTGGCTCCCATATTTTAAGATATGGTCTCACTTAGAACAACTAAATATAGGAAACAAAAAATCATTTGTGGTCTAAATTGCCTTTTAGCAGCCTTTCCTTTACACTTAATAATGCATAATTTCTTATAAACATATTACTATGCTGTAGTCCTAGTAGTTATTTGTTTCATAATATAGTTTGTGTCATTATTTTGCAGGACATCATCCTAGAAGTGAAGAAACAAGATAAAATTTAGGAATAAACCAGCATGTACAACAATAATGTTAAACAGATATATTTATCGCAATCTGGAAAAATGATCAAAACTCAATTATGATGTTTATGAGGGTATTTTTGATTTCGAAGCCCCAGCATAAACCATTGTTTGTTTTCAAAACACTGAATTCTTCTTTTATCGCCAAACAAAAAGCCTTTACAGAGTAATTATAGTTCTTATTCATAAGTAATAAATGTTTTCATACACTGCTTGAGGCTTTGGTGATCAGTGATCAAATAAATGCACCTTTACACACAAAGCAGTTTTAATCTGAGCCAAAAGCGTGAGTTGGTTTCCTGGAATTGACCGTCTCTCAGTGAGGCACTGTACAGTATTGGCTGCTTTAAATTGCCATATCGGCTGAGTGACAGATATTTAAACTCCAGTCAAGTTTCACTTGGATGCCTAAAAGTTTCCATATGTCCTATTGACTTACCTGTTCACAGTAAAGCAGTGGGTGTGGTCATCTTGAAGCTGCCTCCTGCCAGTCAGAAAAAAAGTATCTAATGTCAGTCTGATTATGCTGTTAGAAGGTATCTGCAAGAAATCTGTCTGTATGAAATCATATTTTGTTAATTTAATCAAAATCAGACATCTGTGTTCAGAACTCCTCAGGCTATTTTATGGTTTTATAGCATGCAGAAAAGGCATGAATTAGCTGGTTCTGGTTTAGCACTCAATTATGTGATTTGTTCCAGAACTGTGAAACACTATTAAATCGAGAATGCCGCTTTGGAGCCATTAAGTTGAATAATTAAGAGCTGCCTGTTCACTACGTATGGCTTTAAGTATCAATTATGTCTGTCTCTGCAGAAGTTCTGTTCTGCTTGGAAAAAAAAAACTTGTTTCACAAAAGCTGTTTTACTTGGCTGATTTTCAACTTTGTGCTAAATCTAAAGTGGGTGAGTCATTCCATTTTATAGTAATCCACATTATGCCCAGATGAACTTCTCCGGATAATACCAGATTTAACCCACCTAATCATGTGAAATTAATTGCTGAGACAACGTGGGAGGGCAAATCTGTCTCAAGAGTCTTTCATTTCCCATGAGAGCCATTGATTTATGTGTTTTTCTCAAGGAGTTGTTCTTCTCCTTCATGCTAAAGTGACCCTGAGATTTTTTTTCAATATATCCAAAAAGCACAAAATACTATCATATTACAAAGTGTGCTTGTTTAATAACCAGGCACCAACTTTCAAAGAACATGCAAACATCCATTTAAAATTTGACAAATTTCTCATTACACAGGCACCACTATTTTTTAAGCAGCTAGACATTAACTTGTCATAGCGGCTGAAAGTAAGTGATAAGTGGAACGGTCTTACCTGAGTGGGTGCTGGTGAGTGAAGCAGCCCAGCTGTAGATCGGTGAAACAGAGGTCCCTGAGTCCTTGCCCTCTTTTTGCTCTCAGAGGTGAAGCTATCCTCTGGTCCCACGAGCTGTGCCAGCTCTCCGTGCTCTGTGTTACCAGCCCTGATTAACTAATGGCTGACAGATGAGGTTGGCAGGGTAGAGGGAGGAGCACATCGCCATATAGCGTCTTTTCTCCCACCGTTCAAATGCAGATACAGTTCAGCTGGGGGAGCATAGCCCGTATGGCTGCGATTTCCTTTCTTCTTTCCTCCTGCTTTTACAGCAGTAAGGAGGGGCTAGCCCTCTGCCTCATCACCCCCCCCCACTCCAACATGTTTGCCTGTCTCTGCTCTTGTCTGAGGTAGAGGGAGTTCTGTTATCATATTTGAGTGAGGGTGCAGCGGGTATGTGAATCTGCTCAGGGACTAGTCACTCAGCTCTGGCCTCGGCTTTGATGTTCTCCGTCAGCTGAGCCAGCCCTGTGTTTAAAATGCCTCAGTAATTACAATGTGTATGATGCATGTGTGTGCAGTGTCAACCACAGCCCTGCACCACACTTATAAAGAAAAGGCTGGAGGTGGCTTTGTTTGAAGGGTTCAAATAGATACTCAAACTCTGTAGAGTAGATATTTTTAACAGGAAAATGACCTTTTAGCTTCTAGAAACTGAGGAAAGAAAAGATAAAATCCTCAAGACATTTGCAAATTTAGGATCTTTCTTTCCATCATCTGTAGTATGATCAGTACTATGAGGACATAGGGGAAAAAATCATGTGTTTGGTGTTATGCAACATTCTGAGATCATAATTAGAGGACAATGCAATATTATGTTTATTATCTGGACTGGAAAATATGCTAAGACAAAATGTAACTCTCCTCGTCTTGTGTATTCGATTCCAGCACCCCATTTTTGGAGTGGCTTTGTATGGGGGCGCTCACTCGTCAAGCAGAAATAGCGGACACCCTAATTGCTGTCTGGCCTCATGGGGACCGAAGACTCGAGAATATTTTCATCTACAATCTCAGGCAAAGGCCTTTTTCAGAGCTGTCATCAGGGTGTCTGGTTTTTATTCATCATGGTTTTTTTTTCTCTTCTTCTTTGCCGTCTCTTTAGCTTTCCTGAACTACTTCTAGGTTCCTTATTCGTACCAGATGATTGTCTCGCCATGCACATGCATCCATGTTTCCCTCTGCATCTTTTCTTCCTCTTGCCTCGGCCTCTGCCGTTCACAGCGGCTCTAGAAGTAATTCCTCTGTTTACAGGTTAAATAGTTGGCTGCATTCCATCAGTGTGTGACTGTTTGACAAAAGGTTTTGGCAAAATCCATTTAAGTTGTTTGGTTAAAGTTGTTTGCAGTGTGTTCACTTGGCCATGAAATACAAGAAGGAAGCTGATGGGTGCACCGGGTGCTAAATCTAAAGTCTAAATGCTGTATATGTTGTACCAAGAGAAACATTTTGTCATACACCAATGTTTATGTCTATGGCTCGGTTGATTCCCTTTTGTGTCCACATTCTCTGGAGGCAAATAGAACTTTATTTAAATATTCAACAGCGACATGTCTTTACAGAAACAATGTCCTGGTTACTCTGGATAATTCCTGAAGCTCGCTATCAACTAATTTCATTGGAACTGCTTTCTAGCAAATACAATGTTTCAAGCATTACATTGAAAATTACACAAAATATTAGCTTCAAACTCATTACAGCACAATACTTACAATACAAAACTTTAGTGTTTATATTTTTGTAATAATACGTTTTTGTAACCACTATCAGTAGATAGCTATGATCTTCAACAGGACTTTGCTTATATGCCCTGCTTTTCTCTCATTCTCCACCCGACACCCATCCCCCCTTCTCTCCCTTTCCCTCTCCAGTGTTCAGTGAGTTGCGGTCGGGGGACCAAGCAGCGGGAGATAGCCTGTGTTTATCAGAACCAAACCAAAATAGAAGAGGAGCACTGCAGTCATCTGCCTCGGCCGCGGACGCGGAAGGCCTGTCGGACGCGGGGATGCCCCAGCTGGAAGGCCAACAGGTGGAGGGAGGTGTGTTTGCTCTTTTCCTCATCTCTTCTGGCTCACAAAATAGCCTGGGTCTCTCTGGGACCATACTAGGAGTACTGCTAGCAGCTGAGACACAAGCACAAATACTTCCCAGAGGTTGCAGATGTAGGACATGTACACAAAGAGCACCTGTCCAATCACCACTCAGTTTATTCTTGTTCAAGAGTAATGTGTCATTTCCTTAAGTGTCAACTAAACACCACAGGCTGGATTTGTAAAACTGTTTATGTGGTGCACGTGACATTTAGGATGCCATGTTTAAAATACTCAGACAAAATGTATGTGTGAAATAGCAGTGTAGTGTAATCTACAGAGCAGCTTTAGGCTGACCAAGTTCTTTTGACGCTTTTCATTAGATCACACCCTGACCAGCATGTTTCAAGAGAATTGTGTGGCATTGCACACAAAAGCTTGTTCATGCAAATAACAAAAGCACAGAGGTCCAGAGTTGCAGCTGATTGAGCCGAGCTCGGCCTCCCATACAGATGAAAGCATGACACACATCCTGAAGCACAGCAGGTTTCTGTACCACTGTACTAGTGCAATCAGACACTGGGAGGGCAAAGGCCACGCATAGAGGAGTCGCTATAGGGGGGTGAGGTCGCAGTCATCATGGAGCCAACCGCACAGCCATGATACCTGCTACCAAGAGGAGACACATACAGCCGCAACACAGCTTTGGCTCAAAGTCATGTTGAGCTCCCACAGGGAGAAAAGTATTCTAAACCAAATTTATCATAAGTCACAGAGCAGACTGAAAGGAGGAGGCTCTTTGTCATGCTTTGTCAGATTACCCTGAGGAACAAGCATACTGTGTGTTAAAAACACAAAGAGTTTGCATTGTTTGCATCTTAAAACTGCAGTACCATGGGAAACATCTGTAAGTACAACAATGCCATATTATCAGTTTTTAAATGAAGGTTGCTAACTTGTTAATGCAGTTAATGCCTATTTACACATCCAGTGGATTTGTAGCAACATTAGCATTCATCTAGAGTTGTGTTCATGCCCAGCGGATGAATGAGAAATATTCAACCTTCTTTTAGCTCTGATTTGGCCTTCACCCACTCCTACAGGAAATATCTGTCTCTTTAGCCACTAAATACTCCAATATGTTCACCAACTAGTCGCTAACTTCATCTGTAGTCTGTGAATGTGCTCTTTTCGGTAACCCAGTCGCAGAACAGTGTTTCCTGATCACCCACAAAAAATAAGATATTTGCAAAGATTTCTCAATTTCCTCAGTAAAAATCTTACAAATCCCTCCTCCATGTAACTGTTAAATCCCAAAAGGTCCCTGAAGACCCATGTTTGCCTCCACAAGACTCCTGCCACTCTCCACTCTTTGAGGGTGTCCTCCTCCCCTCTCACACTCTCCCTCGCTGCAGCTGTCTGGAAGCAATCATCTTCCTCCACATACCACCAGCAACCATGAAATCCTCAACTAGAGCATAAAGACATGTTTTATATCTTAATATCCATGCATGTGACACTTTGAAACCTCAGCACCCACTGTTTGAGTTATTCCACAGCTACCCAGGCCTCTCAGTCACCTCTGACTGGGGGTGTAATGGGCAACATGTTAAGGAGCTGAGGGGGTGTGGACTGCCCATTGAGCCAACGACACAAGAATTATTTTCCTCTTTTTACTGGTTGTTTGTAATGCAGTGCACACATAGTTTCAATGTAATATTTTAAATTACTGTTATGGTTGGTTCATTCAAATTACAATAAAATATATGTCTAGAGCTATCTAGCTATACACATATACACATTTTTATTTGCCTATGTTTCTCTGATATATGTATCTTCCTTCACCCTAATACAATGGAGGAGAATTACATTTTGTTTGGAGGCATACAGCATTGAAAATGCTTTTGTTTTAAATTAATCAGCAACATCTGTTTTCAGAAACTGTGTTCCTGTTTCACTGGATGATCCACAGATCAGTCTGTCAACAGTTTTCATAGGGCCTATAAAGTAGTTAATTATCCAGAGTAAAAGGGACACTGTTTTTGAATTGTTGTTGGAGGTTTCAAATGTAATTTTTCACTGCTGTGAGCAGATCAAATAAAATTTGGCTAGACATCACTAAGTGTAAGTGATAAAATATGTCTTGTAATTTGGGTGAACTGACCCTTTAAAGTCTTTTGAGGCTCAGTCAACACTACTATGAAATCACTAAGCACCGTTTCTGATAAAAGGGCTAAAGGTCTTTTGCACAAAAACAGAATCAGGTTTCTTCAGCTGTAGCAGTTAACAGTGACTATAATCACTTTAACAGCAGGTTCTATTTTCATGCTTTGTAAGATTTTAAGAAAAGCATTTTTTTTTATCTGAAGGTCAGATTTCCTATGGAGCTTTTTGTTCTCTTTCCAAACGCAAGGACTTGACCCTTCACATTCAACCACACACTCTGTAATGATAACACACGACTGCAGTGAGACACGAACAACACAAATACATCTGGAAGTTTTCGGGAAATTTGATACTCGCTGTATAATGCGCAGATTTTCTGACTGTGTGAAATCGCTGAGGCCTGGCACTGTTCTTTGAGGTCTGCCGGAGACAGAAATCAGGCTGATCAGCGAGCTTTACAGAATGCTTCCCCAGTATGCAGGTATGCTTCTCAAAGGACATCAAAGAGATGTTTGAGACAGACCTTTGTGTGACCTCAGATATACGTCTCACAAAGAAGCGACAAACTGGCTTTGGATTTATTAAGTATATTGTTCCGGAGCTTCAAAGCAGCAAGTCAACACTGCAGACCAAACAAACGTTTTGAAACATAAAAAAAAGTCACATTAAAGTGAGTCTATGACACATGAAAGAAGAAATGACACAATCATTCAAGTGCAGATGCAGATTCATGTCTATTTCCCTGAGCCCTGCAGGTCGTGGCATAGAACTCACATTGAGATGACACCTTGCACCTAAAAATATTTGGTAACAAATGTTAAACTGTCAAGGGCCTAGCAACAGTTTTACAGACATGGCTTTTGTTTTATTATGGTGGTATATAAGTATATTATGGTACCACGGTTAACCACTATGACAAATTTGCAGCAAATAATATATCCATGCATTCCACTCTCACTCAGGCAGGTCCCCAAATAAGGATGTAACAGACTCAAAAGAATCTTTGGAAATGAAAGAGAATTTGGCATGTAATTATCCTGTAATTGGTTAGTCTCACTTTAAAGGGGTAATCCAGTCTTTATGGTCAAAATCAAAGCAGCAGAGGCCAAACATATCCTGACTGACCATAGCATTGGTCCAACCAAACACTGGCTCTAGATAGAGCCTCTCACGTCCTTTCCAAGTATCAT